AAAACAGAAAACCTCGAAAACAATCAACAATAACCTAACAAAACGGTCGTGACTACTCGTGATCGGTCGTGATGTGACATGACCTTGTTCTTGTAACAACCAATGAGATTGCTTACATTTATTCATCAGCATTGCCAACTTTCATTATCTGGCAGTTGATTAACTGGAGAATAAAAATGAGTTGATAAACCACTTCCAAACAAACTGGAAGTTTATCTGCTAGATATTTTTATCTGACGGATACCTAACTGATGGATAATATTGGCAATTGATAAACCGACCCTGAATCCTACAATGAAAAGTTTCAAAGTCTGATGTCAAATTGGACTACTGAACTATTTGAAATCGTAAAAGTTCGTTTTATGAAAACTACAACATATATCTTGAAAGATTTGCATGGTACACCAATCAAAGGGACCTTTTATCGAGAAGAATTGCAAAAAACTGTAAATCATGATGTTTATCCAGTGGAAAAAGTTTTAAGAAAGAGGGGTAAAAAGGTGTTTGTCAAATGGCTGGAATTTGATGATACACACAACAGCTGGATCGATTCCACCAATAAATTATTATGCAAATATATGGAAAACAAGCATAATAGATTGTATAGGAGAGGGGCCTTTCACTTCGTTCGCTAGCAAATAACAACCATTTCAATCGGCCGGATGTTGTGATAGGTCAGCAGTGGCGGTATAAATAGTGAGGACTGAAACATCCAACGCATCAGAGTTCGAAATGTCTTATGAAAGTTGTTATGGTATTGAGTTTGATGTTGATAGTAGTAGTATCGATGATGATTGCAAGCAAACTCTTGATGACATCGATCGTGCCTTGAACATGTATGAGGCTGCATCTCAACGAAAATTCGATATTAGTGGAATGGATGGTATGAAATCAAAGCTCAAAATGAACATCCTTTGTTATTGATGGTCTTCCCTACGCCCTGTTATGAAATACGATACGGCCTAAGTCGCTTGAGAGAATTCAGCGCCTGTGTGATTCTGAAACAAAGGTTTTCACCATGACAAATATCATTCAACACCTACGAGTGGGCCTCCATAATAGAAATATTGGGTAAAGATAAACATACCTTTTTCGGAGACAGCAGCAGCAGCAGCAGCTACATAGATGAGTATGATCCTGTGGCGATAAAGTGTGGAGACTTTGTGAGTTAAAGCCGATACAAAAACTTGCAATTACGTATGGACGTAAACGTGAATAGAAATACGTACGTATTCAATGAAAAGTAGCGTTAAAGCTACCGTATGGAACGTACATGTTTTACGTACATACAAGATACAAGACCAGACTCATTTCAACCCTATTTTTCTTTTCCATTCAAATGTTTTGATTTGTTAGTCTTCGCTTGCTTGAATATTGTTCCACTGTTGTTGCTGCAAACCCTGTTGCAAAATGGAAGAGATTTTGATATTCGAAGCTACAAATGATAGCGATGCTCATGTAGGTACTGAATAAGAACGACAATTTAGGTAATCGAAGGGAATTATATAGAGATATATCAATTTGAACAATTTATTTGAGATAGACTTTAAAAATCTATTTCAATTTGCGAAAAATGACATTGCAAAATTAGCTAGAGCCCTAGGAATACCAGGAAGCTATAAGTTTTCCAGTAATTTACATTATATATTCATTTGGATGAGGTTCCAACGGCCCGTGTCTTCATAGGGATTATGGCCTACAACTTCCCTTGCGAGATGCGAATCATCTTCCAAGGAAAAGAGAATTCTTTTATTTAAATTGTCCATGATTTTTTCGAAGCACAACACAAGAACAAAGCGCAATAAAAGACAAATGTGATTTCATGTGATAAAAGTGAGGTTAAAGTAGAAACCGAATAGTTATCGTTTGTATTCGCTTAGATAGGTAACGTCTTCGGTTCAATACGATTTGCGTTTAGCGCCAGCGTTACAAGACGTAAACATACGTCAGACGTATTTCCTGGCGTAGGAAATTCGCATATTGCGCATGCTCAGATGTCAAATTCTACGTTTACGCTTACGCATTATGCATTGCTCTAACTCTCACTTTAGAAAGTGGTGTGAAGCAGGTAGCAGGTTTCCATTCGTAATCGTAAAGATATCATCGATGACGAGTGAAGAGGACGTTGAAAAAATTCTACAGACACATATATGAATGTGGTATCTGATTGGCTTGCAATGTTAAATGCTTTGGATTTCAATGATTACTATCTTAATGTTTTTGATATAGCCAACACATGGTTGAATGTGAATAAAACTATGGTACTTGCAGTAGGCAAAACTATATTTCTGGAACGAAGTTTCTGCTGTAAGTGATCAGAACACTTGTTGGTATCAACCAAGTCGATATGTACTTAGAGTTCGCTAATTTTAAGTGAACAATAAACTAGTGCTAGGTTAACGAATACTCACTATTATTAAATTATTTTTTTGACATAAGATCACTTGCTCTGAGCGAACTCATCAATTAAGACAATCTATCAAGTCGATTGTTGCAGGTGACGGCTCACCTGTAGTTATAGATCTCTTTTCCGTTCGGACATCTCCGATATTATTCGAGTACCCACGTCCAACGCGATCACTGTCCAGTGTCCACGAGTCCACGGCGTCATTTCGATCTTAGCATTCGTGAAGTTAGTATTCTTGCGTTCCCGCTAGTAACATTGAAATTCCAAGTCATGCAAGTGCCCTTTCGAACAACTACTATATCATATTCGTATGAGAATTCTCTGTTTGTGTGCCGTGCTCTGTGGCCGTGCTCTGAGCTGTGGGGTGTTGAGTTCTTGATCTGTTCTCTTGAAGGAGATAATGAAATACAAAACTCTTCTAGAACAGTACATAATTGTTTCTACAAGTGACGTTCAAAAAGTATGAAAGTTAATTCATCTTCAATGCTGGAAGGAAAAAGATAGTGAACCAGAGTGCAGTGCATCAGTGAGTGAGAGTACCGTTTTTCTCGGTGCATGATGCTGATATACGCGCGGTATCTAGTATCTCAATATTTGTCGTCAGCCTAACCTTTTTTGTATTTTCTGGATTCATCATACCTATATAATAAAATGTTTTGAATGCATGTGTTTTTGTCTTATTACCAAGGTTTTATCATTTTTCAGAGAACAATGGAGGTATTTTTTGTTACTAGATAATGACAAGTAAATAAGTCATTATTGACAATTGAATAAGTCACTATTGACAAGTAAATAAGTCACTGATGACTAGTAGATAAGTCACTAATGACATGTAATTAGGACACTAATGACTAGTGAACAAGTCACTAATGAAAAGTGAATGAGTTACTAATGACAATTGAATAGGTCACTGATGACAAGTGATGTGTTCACTTACCGTTATCAATCTGAGATTTAATGAAACAGGTCGATAGTGGTAGGTGTACATTTTCAGGAACACAAATATTCTTGTGGTTACTAACTTGTTTCCTTGTCCCATATAGTATACAAGTTTTAACTTGCCACTATTGAATATTCACTTAGGGTTAGTGATTTTTTTCTCCGTGTACTCTGACACACTTGTAGAAATCATTAATGGACTTTGTCAAGCATCATCCCCAAACAGCATTTGTGTCAATGCTCTACGTGAATATTCATTTCATCATTTTTCTGAGAATTGACTTGAATGTATTATAGAGATATATCTGAATAAAAAGCTATGAAAAATGTATATTGTTTTAATTTCATCAGTCTACCGTCTACCAGTTGACGTGACACTGGAAGCTTCAGCTCCGCTCGAAAAATTATGAAGTCTGAAGTAGCTGTACTTTCAGAGTTTCTGACGCAAAAACTTCCGCAAGAATATCGCTGCAACTTTATTAACCTACAAATCAGGCTTCCATGCTTGCATGGATAGGGGTCTAGTGAGTTGAGGTAACATAGGTGCACTACTACTGTGAATAAGATTGTACAGGCTAACCTGGTTTATTCTGATGACTTCATAGGACCGCTTCCACAATCAAGAGGGGAGGGGCTACCCAAGTTTTAGCAGTAATTGATGCATTTTCGCGTTATGTTGTTGTATATGCTTTGAGAAAAGCAACTGGTCAGAGTATACCTAATTGATTGGTTTCGGATTATTTCAAAAGTGTTAGTACACCTAAATCAATTTTGAGTGAAAATGGTACCCAATTTCATTCAAAGATTCACTTAGATTCATATTAATAGGATGAAGGAATTTGGGGACAAAATTAAATATACATCTTTTTATTTCCCTCAAGCAGAGATGAGTTACCCACTTTCAGTTCAATTCAAATTCAATTTCTGGTTCTGCTTCACCAATCAGAATACGAAACGTAAAAAGCAAAACGTAGAAGGTTTGGTTGTGAACGTCGATTGAGGAGAATTAAGACAAAGACACACGAGGCGAATTTTGAAACATGGTCATTGAAACTTAGAACGCTGAAGAAGTGAAACGGTGCGTCAACCCATATAACACACGGACATCCTATGGATGTCCGATGGATATCCAACCAGAATATTCTGGATATCCGTTGGACATCCAAATCTTATCCAAAGGATATCGTATGGATGTCCAATGGATGTACTTTGGCCACCGTTTTGTATGTCCATAGGATATCCATTATGTATATCCATAGGATATCCATTATGTATGTCCATAAGATATCCATCATGTATGTCCATAGAATATCCATCATGTATGTCCATAGAATATCCATCATGTATGTCAATAGGATATCCATCATGTATGTCCATAGGATATCCATCATGTATGTCCATAGGATGTCCATCATGTATGTCCATTTGATATCCTTCATGGATGTCCATTGGATGTCCTTCATGGATGTTCAATGGTTGTGTTTCAGGGATGTCCAGTGGATAATGTGTTTTATTCAGGTTAAAATGTTCACTGACATTCATCAAATCTGATTGATATTCGTTTACAATGAAAATAATTGGGTATAGATAGGGAATTAATTAAATACGATGAATAACTGAGTGGAATATAATGATTCAAAATGAAATATAAATTCTCGCAAACAAGAACAACTATATTACTACTACTGAATTCCTCTCTGGTAGCAATAGATGATATTCATGGCAAAAACAGGATACTATTATTATCATTAGCAACATCTTCTGAAGCACCCAGCTTCTTTAAAGATGATATGTGTCTTTCTTTTGCTCTCCTCAACCAAGCTTTGATTGCGTCTTCGGAATATTTTTTATTCGCCGATAATCCGTTGACTTGAGCTGCTTCTGAAATGGTAAAAAATATTTATGAAAGTAATATAAATATTAACTTCTGATTGATTTATGTCCAGAAATATTCGATACCTAGCAGAAGTTCAGCTAATTTAAATTTTTGGAAAATCTTCTTTTTCTTGGCTCCTAGCCAGCTAAATTGTGAAGCGAAACCATTGGTCAACATTGAGGAAAGACAGCGTTTCATGAAATCATAAGTGGTAGCACCTCCAATCTTCGAAATTTCTGATACCTGAAAAGAAATGTGGATACAAATTCCAACAGAATAACACTAACTGAGTAGTTACAGCAGCTTTGAAATGTTCCTCTTTGGACAGGTATTCTTCCAACAGCCCCAAAGTTTCTTCAGAGTTGACAGGGAAGTGTTGAAATGCCAAAAAAATTGATTGAACATCACTATTTCTCAAATCAGTAATATTACCAATACTAGCATTTTGTTTTATTTTTTTGACATCTTCGAGTATTTCATTAACTATGTGTCTAGTCAACACCTGTTGCTTCAATAAATTTTTCAGGGTGGCACCTGGAATTTATTCAGTGAGAATAATATTTATGATCACGAACAATTTTAGTTGGAATATTTTCAAAAATTATCTATAATATTTGAAAGACGTTTGAATTGATTCTGCTTTGAAAATCATGCATTTATATTTACCCATTTCATGGTCAGCACAGCAACAACATGAAGAGTTTACATCTGCAAAGAAAAAGTTTTCAATGTTTTGATGCGAAATTCATTTTACAAATCACTCAGACAATATTTAGAAGCAGTAAACTGAAAGCTCAAAATTGTTGAAATCATCGAAAACAAATACACAAATTAAGTTCCGAAATTAACTTGGTTCCATATTCATTCGCAGATCAGTGTGTTTTCATATGGGCAATATAGGTATGAGTTGTGAAGTGTAAAGTGATTATAATATTGATCGTACCCGTTGTTTTTTTTGAGGAAGAGCTACTCGGTTCAATGTTGGTGAACAGTTCCTGTGAGGGCATCATAGACTCATTATGGATATTAGTCTCATCCGAGTCAGTCTCCTCTACAACAGTAGTAATATTCGCAATTTTTTGCATTTTGGGAGGTAATGGCAACTTTGATGAAAAGTGATCATCATCTTCCTCGGAAGAGGATGTAATAGTTCTCTTCTTCTTCAGCTTCCTTGACTGTATGTCACTGTCTGAGTTGAGATCACTGAAGGTTTCAGCTTTTCTGGCTTTATTTCTAGCAGTCAAATAGTTATCTGAAAATTTAAAACATTCCTATCAATTCGAAATTCTCATGGATGATTCAGCTTACCATAAGTTCCGTTCCTGAATATGCAAATGTCATGGAGAGGCCAACATGTGTTGGGTCTTTCATTTCTCCGTATACAATTGATTACTTTGTCTTTGGGAAATGGTGGCCAGTAACATTTCTGACTACCAAACAACCATGACGTGGGGATAGCTTCCACTGTGTTTTCATCAGTGAACTTCACGATGGTCCATGATACGAACTCCATTTCACAGCCCTCAATAAAAACAGTTCGTTGTGTTTTTCACATAATTTATTTCCTTCCGATTTTTTTTTTCAATCAGATTATAGTTGGTGAAGTTACAGGCTCGTAGTTGAATGATTTTTAGAGGAAATTCAGAAATATCAGCTATAGTCTTTGAAAAGAAAATTAAAAATTTTGAATTTGGACAGGTTCAATATAGATGCAATAAAGGAAAAATAACACAATGATTATCATCTACTTTTAGTTTAATGCATTTATATGTAACTTGATGCAATGGCCAAGATTCAAGGTTGCCAAGACTGTTAACAATAAATATTCCCAATTTTGATGATTCACAAGGAGAAGTATAAAAATTTTTCATGTTTCTGAATTTGTTCCCAATTATTTTTATTTCACCCTCATGATCAATGAAGTTTTTATAATAATTATTATAGACTCATTCTCAAGACAACAACAGTTATCAGCTCCAGAGGTTCTGAGGACATAGTTGGAAAATTTAACTTTTTTGTATTGTTTTGAATTTGTATGGTTGAAAATGAGAGGCCCATCAGTATGTTCAACAGATGGATGAGGTAATTGGTAGCTATCACAATTATTCTGGTACCCATTAAAAAAGTTTTCTTGTTCATATATTCTTCTTATTATTTGTTCGAGAGGTTTTTCACCTTTTCTAACCAACTTCTTCAATACCTGCATGTGGTTCTCGAAAGGAAATGCACTGAACTGATCTAATGGACCCAAGTATCTTACATCATTGCATAAGTGTAATAGATTATGAATGTTATGTGAAACATTTTCTGGTCCATACAATGTGATGAATGTCTCAACAAAATATTTCAAAAGTGACTCAGCATAATTTACATGCTGTGAAAATCTCGAACTTGACAAAAACGTTATAGCAACATGTAATGTCAAAAAATTTACATATTTGTCTGGATCTAATACTGATTTCAATACAACAGGTCCTAAATAAAATAAAAATGATCTGAATTCTTTTGCCTTCCATCGCTTTGCTTCATTTAACGATCTCGGTTTTCTAGCAAATTCAAAGGGGATTTCTGAAACATGACTCAAAAGTGATTGGGATAATGTAGAAATTTGATGATATGACAATTTGATCCCTGGTTTACCACAAATCCATAAAGATACTATCAACTTTTTCACTACTCCTAAGCAAATCAAATGCATATAATCCATAGGAAAATTACATATCATATCAATTCCTGGTAAAAGTTCTAGGAGTGAAGTACCAATATGGTGGTGGTATTATCAATTTGAGGAAAGCAGATTTTGTTATTGATGAAAGTTCCTGTGACTGTGCACTTAGTACAAGAGCTGTAACCACTATGTCCTTTAGTGTACTTTATGAATGCTTTAGCAGGTACATCGCACACAAAAGCTTTTATTTTTACAATGAATACCTGACCATTATATCGAACTCCATTATTAAGAATATCTATGGCTTCAGTTACAAATGCATTAAGAAACTCATTTGCATTTGCTGGTTTCCCATTTCCATGATAAATGCCTATTGTACTAATTGCTTCATTTGCTCCATAAACACTCGACAAAATAGGGTACAATTGGCTCCCAGAACTTTTTGATAAAGGTAAACCATCAACATTAATCATGAGATGATAGTTGGGAGTTTCTGATGAAATTCTCAATAATCCTATTCATACCAAAATGGTAATATTTCCCTGGTTTCACTTCTTTTATATCAACAACTCTTGGTGTATTTAATAATGTTCTCGCATCAAGAGGAAGTTCTGGGTGGGAGGGTTTCAATATATGTAGAAGGTTGGTGACTGCTATTTGGGGTATATTATGCTGAAGCGCCCACTGTCCTAACTGAAAAGTCAATGACTTATGTTCAGTTTGATTGCTGGCTATATTGTTTTCTATAGAAGGAATATTTGTAATGTTTTGGGTAATCTCAACAATATCATCAATAGATGAATCATTACTACTATAGCGGAACCTCGAGCTGAACCCTATAGATAAATTTTCATTAGTGCAGATAGAATTATCATTGATAGAAGCGGTCATAGTTACTGCTTTGGTAACTGAAATTTGTGAAGATGATGGACCATCCATAATGCCACAGGTTGATGAATCTACTGATGTGTCTCTCATTATTTCACCAGAATCTAGTTCCTTCCTCGTTTTCTTATAGACATTTTTCCTCCTGATATATGGTTTGTCCATCTTCAAAATTATCAGATTGCTTACCAATACTGTGACAAAATCAATGAGAAGGGATTATATACACCGATACACTGCGAAACAGAATTCTAAAACACAAAAAGACCAAATCGGATTTTATTGACGTTTTTGACATGTTTTGATTGAAATGCAATGGTAATCACGGTGATATCATGTACATGGTGTTTCAGAGTTGAAGTGACAAAAGCCTATAGGGGAGATGTCGCTGAGCAGATTATGAAGAAAGTTCGTATGAACATAGGTCCAGAAATGTCCGAGTTGGGAAAAATAAAAATGTTCAGGAGTTATGAAGAAATTATTCGCCGTATAGGAATCCTTCAGATAGTAATATATTATACCAAGGTCATAAGATCATATGAGGCCAAGGCCTATGTGGAAACAAAGTCATAAGATCAACATAAATATACCGTCATGCATCGAAGATCGTTAGTCAATGCTTGCGTTTAAACGTCGAAGGTAACATATCAAGGCCGAAGGTTACGGTTTAATGTCAATGATCACAATCAAAGGTCACAATCGAAGGTCTCGATCGAAGGTCTGAGGTCGAAGGTAGACCAAAGGTCACAGATCAAGGTCACGATTAAAGGTCACGCTCAAAGGTCGAAGGCAATGGCCAAAGGTCACGATTAAAGGTCACGATCAAAGGTCACGAACAAAGGTCATAATCAGAGGTCTCGGTCGAAGGTCTAAGGTCACGATTGAAGGTCATGCTCAAATGTCAAATTCAACGGTCAAAGGTCACGACGAAAGGTCACGGTGGAGGATCTCAGTCGAAGGTACTGTAGCACCTATTATTTTTGACACCTGTCATATGTTAGATGCTGACGTGGGCTCAAACGGAGATAGGTTAGGTTAGACGTCAATAGCTATTAGGCAATCCAAACCACGTGACATTTTAGCTGACAAGATGGCGTCTGGTTGGCAAACAAAGATTATACATCACTTGTAATTAAATTGTATTTTGTCCGAATCACCCTATTATTCTGGTAGTTTTATGTGTCAGGTGTTTGAGGGAGTCTCAGAGCTGAATTGAACAGTGCTTCAATATGCTGAGCTCATATTTCCAGAAGTTATTGCAGTAAAACCCAGAGGTTGGTCAGAGGTAAACATGAATATTTATTGTTTTTTCAGCTATTTTTCTCAACTAACCAGTAAATTTTCATTCCTGAAACTATCATACAACCATTATTTGTTTGTAGATATCTGATGAAGCTGATGTTGATCAAGGATTTGAAGCCCTTCACATCTGAAACTGCTGACTGATTAGACTACCACATAATTATACTCTCCTACTATTTATAGTGACCCACAGTTTCTACCCTCATGAGCAAATGAGAGCATTCAAAACCCTTGTTGTTCACAAGTATTTCTCAGCAACTTTTGTCCAGGAAGTAGACAGGAAGATGGATGATTTTCATGTCATAGTTGGAAAGGTAACTTTTTACTTCTATACCTAAATAACTTTCATGATAGGAACATTTTGAATGATGAAATTATGTTATTCATATATTTTTGAATATATTTCCTATCTCATATTCATGTATATCTCATGCAATTTTTTTATAGGTAAAATATTCACAATCCGATTCTGTGCTAATAAGTAACTGAGGCTTGGGCAAGTAAATGAGGAACAGTTTCATGTACTGATGTATGTGCTTTGTGGCCCATGCCACCACTCTCACCATGATTGTGCCCATCATATACCAATAGCAGAAATGGCCATAGGTACAGTTGCTCTGACTGGTTCAATACAAAATCCCCACTATATCTTCAATGTCCAAGAAATAACATTCACAAATTGCTTTGAAGTTTCATGCTGAAGTTATAATACCTGGACTTTTGAGTGGATATTAATTTCACCAGAAGTGAACTATTGGTGTGAGTGTTCAAGTGCTGATGATGGAACCCCTATGACTAGTTGTGACAGTGATAAAGGGTTCTATTTTGAATGTGTAGATATTTTAGGTACACCAGAATCAGCATGGTTTTGTGAATTCTGATTCAACATGTTCTATAAAAAAATATGTACCTATTCATAATAAATATATCATTCAATCATTGTTTATTATTGTTTCAATCAGATCACTGAATAACTATAATGTTCTATGAAGATTTTTTTCATGACTCATGTAGATCTTTTGTAATATAGTGGAATAATACAATGTATTTTTCATTTAATGAATATTACAATTATTTTGATATACTTACTTTATTTGTCTTACATTTATAAATGATAAAAATAAATCAAGACAAACTGTAATTTGTAAAAGTACTTATAATCTTGTAAATTTTCACCTTGTTTTCACCAATTTTCTCTTCTATTTCTTTATCTCCCAGGACACTTTCTTCATTACACTAAAATAAATGAAAAATAATGTAGTAGTAGTATTAGGTAATCAGGTGTTTTCTTGAGAACATACCAGGTCTCTCAGTTCTGATGCTTGATTCATGATTTGAACCTTTTGTCTGCTCTCAGTTTTTGATCCACATCAGTCTTGCATTTCAAATGGACAAGAGATTGATGACCCATATTATATTGCAATGGGACCCAAGCTGGATATTCTCATCTTTCAGGCACTATGTTCTCCTACAAGGTAGATGATTTTTTTATGTATTAGAAACATGATGTTTCCAAACTATGTAAGTCCATTAAAAGTAATGAGTATTGGTTTATTTCATCAAAATGAAAAAAAGATAAGTTTTCCATAGGATGAAACACTAAACTCATCAGTTCTAGAGTAGACATATAAATAATATTAAAATCCTTTTTCTTAGGT